CTTCTGTCGCAAACGGGTGGCGAAATTCAGACTCAGAATCACTTTATAGCTAGCTGAAAAATATAACGATAAGACAGGCAAACAAAAAAAGAAAAAATAATAATACGAAATACATAATTAGTCGCCAGAAATAATACAAAAAAATAATAAAGTCGCACGCTCGCTTGTGCACTCGCCCTTTTAAGCCCGAAGGACTCAGGATCTCCCCCGAAAGTACTGTCAAAAGTGACTGACAAAAATTGTCACGTCACAATACATATATATATGTATATGCAATGTATCTATGTATTGATAATACATGTTACATCCTAATGAGTATACCCACACAAACTTGCATAGCCGCATAATGTATTTGTAAAGAAATTAATTATCTAATCACATATATTTCGAATGTCCTTATGATAGAAATATGATTGGATAACTTTCTTTATATATACATTATGCGGCTATGCAAGTTTGTGTGGGTATACTCATTAGGATGTAACATGTATTAATACATAGATACATTGCATATACATATATACATATGTATATATATAGTTATTCTATCTCTTTTTATTACATCTAATAAAAAGAGACAGGAGTTACTCATGCTCAAATTTTCATGCAGATATAATATAGATCCTGGCTATTAGCGAATATTAGAATTATATTTATGTGCATCATTATGTACACACACATAAAATACATTATTAATTCATATTCACTGTGTCTGTTTATATGCACTATTGAAATTTTTATATTTATTATACATGTATGTATATTAGGGCTATTCATTTTTTGGACTTATTTTTTAATTTCCTCTCGCACCCGTGAAAAAGGTAGTATCTGAGGTCAAGATTCATACCTATCACAGCGAGCTTGGTGCGATTTTTTTTGGCGTGGCTCATCGCAAACGCGTTTTCCCCATTTAATTAACATGTAAAAATTATTATTCTGACGTTCCATCTTATTCTACACACCGAAAACTTATTCGATCGGTGTAAAACTATACAGACTTCATATGATATATCTAGAATAAACGAACAGCACAAAAAAGAAAAATGTTCTCGAATGGTAGTGATAGAAAAGCACGATAAAATAGGTTAACAAGTTATATTTTTATAATTAATGCTGTAAATAATTCGGGAAAAGTTGCAGAAATTGCTTATCCCTGAATCCGCTAGAATTTCTGCAAATTTTCCCGAATCATTTACAGCATTAATTGTAAAAAATATATCTTTTTAACCTGTTTTATTGTGATTTTCAATTACTACCATTCGAGAAATTTTTTTTTTTTAACCAATGTATACCATTTCTGACAGAATTCCAATAAAATAAGTTGAGAAAGTAGATGTATGTTCAATTTTCATATTTCCTAAAAGTCTCCTCCTATTTACAATATATTATAAATTGCATTGGCATTTTTCTGAGTGTCGTATGTATCAGAATTTCCGTATCGGAGCCCAAATTTAAAAAAAATCGGTTCAACCATTTTTAATTTAGATTTTTTAACGTAGATTACTATCTTGTCAACTCAGCATTTTAGAACCCCTTATGTCAATAAATAAAAGAAAACTGATTCCTTCCTAAGAAAAACTTATCGTCAGTTAGCTGAATATTGATTTTTATTAGTTGCTGTACAGTTTAGATAGATTTTCTTTTTAACAAGCTGAACTGTCAATGTGCAATAAAAACATTGAAAATACTTTGTTTTCTTCTAAAAAAAACTTAATTTCTTATACATGAATCTGCCTGAATTTCTGCAACTTTTCTCGAATTATTTACAGCATTAATTATAAAAATATAACTTGTTAACCTATTTTATCGTGCTTTTCAATCACTGCCATTCGAGAACATTTTTCTTTTTTGTGCTGTTCGTTTATTCTAGATATATCATATGAAGTCTGTATAGTTTTACACCGATCGAATAAGTTTTCGGTGTGTAGAATAAGATGGAACGTCAGAATAATAATTTTTACATGTTAATTAAATGGGGAAAACGATTTTGTATAAACAGACAATCTGCGAATATCTGAGTATGAGAAACTTGTATCTCTTTTTGTTAGACGTAACAAAGGGTGCCTTCCAACAAGCGAGACAGATGATACGGTGTGACACAGTGTATCAATACATCTTTGCTGTTCACCATTGTTATAAAGAAGAGATGATCACTGTGTTTTACTGTGTCAAATATATACAAAATTAGTAATATATGTACTTATATATATATATATAGTATTACAATATAGAATATTGTATGTATTATATGTATTATGATGTGTGAATATACACACAAATAAAAATTATTTATACTGAGATATTCATGTAGATATTCCCTGTGTTTATTTATACGCAATTACAATTCAATTTTGTGTGTGTGTGTGTGTGTATGTGTACACACACACACACACACATATATTACACATTAAAACAATAAACGTAGAAAGTACCTGCATAAATATCTCTCTCTCTCTCTCTCAGCATAAATAACTTCTATTTCTAATAAGTGTATGTTCAAATATTACAATATACTCATATATATACATGAAATATTATAATATTGTATAAATATGTAAGGACACATGTCAAAATTGTATATTTGAGCATGCAAGACTTATCTTTTAGTAAAAAGAGATGAAGGAGCTGCACATATGTGTATGCAATACATGTGTCCATATGACAGATTATATAACCTAAAATAACATTGCATCCGAAAAATACTATTACCGTGTATTGATGTATACTGTCAGTAAAAATCTGTATTTTACATTATATGTATTACAGATTTTTACTAATGACAGTGTGAGCGCACAATCATTTCGGACTGCGTTCATTGCGTTCGGTCCGGCCGCTCACATACAACATATGTCCGTCACGAACACTTCGAGCGACTGGACCTGACTGGAGTGTGGTGGGCACGAAGTAAGAGAGAAGGAGATCGAACTCTGTGAAACGTAAATGGTCCTAGTCCGTGACCCCTAATTGGGAGGGAGTCCGCTGAAAGTAATGAATTCTTATGGTTGGGCGCCATTTGCAACTAACCTACCCGAACAATCCGGCCTGATCTATTGCTTACATTAGACGAAGAGGTCATGAAGTAAGAGATCGTGAGAGAGGTTAAGAGTTCCAAAAAATTAAAAAAGGTGAAATATTGAATATTTAATATTAAAATGAATATTACATTATTATATTATATTATTGAATATTTAATCGTTTAAATTATAATATTTATTTGCTTTAACTCTGCTAATTTCGTGCACAGTAGCTTTTAGTACGTACTAATCTAGCGTAGTGCAAGTAATCGAATTCACTATTAATTCTTATAAATCTTTACCTTTTTTAATTTTTTGGAACTTTTAGTCTTAACCTCTCCGTATAATACAAGCACGCTCTTACTTCGTGAATGTAAGCCAGGCCGGACTGTTCGGTAAGGTTAATTGCAAATGGCGCCCAACCATAAGAATCAATTCCTTTCAGTGGACTCCCTCCCAATTAGGGGTCACGAATCAGGACCACTTTTTCAGCTTGCGTTCTATTAAGTTCGGTCTCCTTCTCTCTTACTTCGTGGTGATGGGACTGTAGGAACGGCGTGGCGCGCGGCCAGCGGCGGCGCGCCAAAGGGCGTAAGCGGACGGTGAAAAATCTGTGTTATCGACCTCGATCAAGTTCGGCCGTCACTCCAGCATCCCCTTAGGGTGCCATTACATGCAGCGCGGAAACGCGGAAACGCGGAAGAGATAGTAACTAGCCTTTACTAGATTCCCGCGTTTCCGCGCGTTCTGTTCCGTCTGTTTTCATTGCCTTATATTACATGGAGCATATTTTGAGCGGAAAAGCGGAACGGAGAATTATAAAATATTAATTTTTAACGGTATTTATTGATTAAAATGCTTGTATTCAATAGATAAGCTGAAAAGATAAGCAGATTAATAAAAAGTGCAATGAATTAAGTGAACATAATGTTAAAAAATGAATACAAATGTTTATTTGTCACCATACCGTTCCGCTTTTCCGCGTAAATTGTGCTCCATGTAATATAGGGTAAACAAACTCGCGGAACGAGAGCGCGTCAAAATCCGTTGTCAACGCGGAGGCTGTATGCAGTGAATACGATCAAATTTCAAGCAGATTGAAAAATAAATCTTTTATATACTTCGATTCTTTTCAAAGTGGCTGTGTAATCAGTAATAATGGATCCAAATATCATGCTGATGGTCATTATGAAGTATCTGAAACAAGCAAGAGATGAACCGATACGATACGCTGAGATAACTATGCAAAAAGTAATTCGTCTATTTTATTTGTACATGCGTTACAAGGAATTGCAAGATGACAGAAAGAACCGTGAAATGTGGGTACGGCCTATTTTTATGGAGAGGAGAAGACTTCTGCAAGGTGACAGCGACAATCTAATTGTGGAGATGCGATTGGAGGATCCGAATAAGTACTTCAACTACCTCAGAATGTCAGCTGTAATCTTCAACGAGTTGCTCAATATTGTCGGACCTTTGATCGAAAAGGAAAATGTAGTTCGGAAACCGATACCGGCCAGAACGAGATTAGAAGTGACTATACGATGGTTGGCATCTGGTGACAGCATGACATCGTTATCGTATGCTTATCGCATTGCCCAATGTACGCTATCACGAATAATTCCGGAAACTTGTGAAGCAATTTGGCTCGCCCTAAAGGAAAAGTTTATGATTGATCCAACCGAAGACAATTGGAGAACAATAGCAGAAGACTTTGCGACAACATGCCAATTTCCAAACTGCATAGGCGCTATCGATGGAAAGCATGTCGTAATTCAGGTACATTATGAATTTATTAATATTAATTCAGGTTCATTGATAATGCAATCATGTATGAAGCTTTTGAAATTATTAATGTATGTTATCACAATAATATGATGTTTTCCAATTGCAGGCACCGCCTCGTAGTGGTTCCTGCTACTACAACTACAAAGGAAACCATAGCATAAACCTGCTCGCAGTAAGTGATGCCAAGAATCGCTTCACAATTGTTGATATTGGAACTGAAGGGAGACAAAGCGACGGAGGTGTTTTTTAAAACAGTGGATTACCGCATCTATTTCAGACAAATGCTCTCCATATCCCTCCACCTACGCGTCTGAATAATATGGATTTCGAGTTTCCAAACATTCTATTAGGAGATGAGGCATTCTCCCTGAGCACACATATGATGCGACCATACCCTCGGAGTCAACGGCTGAATATCAGCCGAAAAATTTTCAACTATCGCCTGAGTCGAGCAAGGAGAACGGTTGAATGTGCTTTCGGGATTTTGGTTGCAAGATGGAGAATATATCGTCAACCTATTCTTGCATGCACATCTACTGCTGTAAAAGCAGTACAGGCCACGGTTATCTTGCATAATTTTATTATTAATCAAGAATTAGACTTACCACTTGCAGAAAGACAGTACTGTAATATACAAGAAGAGCGCAACCTCTCGGCTACTAATGAACTTACAGACATACGTAATAGCAGTTCGCGAAAGTCTAAAGCACTGAAGATTCGAGATAACTTTGCTCACTATTTCGAGCATGTAAATCCTCTACCGTGGCAGTGGGACAAAGTTTTAACTAACAACTTTTGACAAGTATTAATATTGTTTTAAAAAGTATTTCACGGCACAGCATTCGTTTGTTATCTATTTTGACGATATTCAAACTCTTTGTACAACAACACACACACATAATAAAAATATATTTTATTCCTTATGACAAATACAAAAAGTGGAAAATTTATAATATTAAAAACAAATATTTTTCACTGGGCGTTCTCCCTCTCCAGAAGCTGTTCATCCTCCTCCGCTATAGCAATATCCATGAGCCTTCTTTGCAGGTTTCTGCGTCGTATGTAGGATAGTCGGCGTAAAAGGTCGCCAAGCTGGTCCAAATAACTGTCAACTATGTCTCGTTTCTTGGGCGCTTCTTCATCGATGATCTTAAGAAATTTGTTCTCGATCTCAGCTTGCCTTTGCAATTCTGTAAATAATAATATATTGTTAAAAACAAGGATTTAGTGAAGTTATTAATTTCAAATTTAGTGAAAAATACGTTTCAAAATTCCTGCGAGAGCTTTGAAACGTATTTCTCCAAGACCGTAGGTCAATGCGTAAGAAATCCTCACTTCGCTACGATAGACAATAGAAAATTGCCACATACTTATATTTTTCGTCTCTATCGATGAACTTCGGGTTGTTCGAGATGAGGATTTTTCTGCTGATGATGGACATGCAGAATCTGATAAATCATCACTAATATATAGCATGTGATCATCGGCAGGCTTGTCCACTTGCATGTCATCGTCAACATGCTGATGGGATGAACTCGCCGCTTCCAAGAGGTGCTGGATGGAGCTGACAGTCCTGAAACCAAAACAATTTTACAAATTTTAAATCCAATTGTACACAATTAGAATGTTTGTTAAATGCCTGTTAATAAACAAGAGCCTAGTTCTTCTTTGTTCTCATTGGCTGGTAAAAATACGGACCACGGTACAAGTGTAGAAAGTATAAACAAGAAAAACAGACGTAATGAATAAATACTTACGATGCTGTTTTGATGGTATCGTCCAGAAATCTCATTTTTTCATAATGCGCGAATGAGCTTTTTACAGGATGACCAGCTTCCGCCCCCGATCCGCTTCGCACGTATCCCTGCATTTTCTTCCGAGCCTTCATGTAAGAATCTCGGAGGTGTTTCCATTTTTGTTTAATTGTTTCCATAGACAGGGATCCTATGATTCCACCAGAGTTGTATATAGAAGAATCGTTTATTATTTACTTTTATACGCAGATATGCATGCAGGTAATTAAAAAATGATCTTACCATCAAATATATTCATTATCTCTTGCCACAGACCGTCTTTTTTTAATTTTGTTCTCTCGCTGGGCGGTATTGAATGGTCCCACAAACCCTTTCGGACCCGCACTAACTCAATTAGCAACTCATCTTGATTGAGTGGACACGGTGATGAAGATGTGGACTGGGCAGCTCCTTCCTTTGAATGCGGCAAAAGATGTTCACTTTCGTGTCTCTTTCCTTTAAAATAAATAAATAAACAAACAATGATTCAAATCGCAGCAGAAATTACTCAAAGAATTTTGTTAACACGTACTTATAGTGACAACGGCATTGTCATCAACTTTAATAACATGGACATATTCGTCGTATGTTTCGAAGCAGTGGTGGTTCAAAATCGTTCCACACGACCCACCTCGTAAAATGTACCCGCAGTAGCCACACTTCGTTGCCTGCGAACAAATATACAAAGTGAGGTTATAA